TGAGGATGAAGAGGATGTAGAAGAAGAAGAGGGTGAGGATGAAGAGGATGAAGAAGAGGGTGAGGATGAAGAGGAGAAGAAGAGGGTGAGGATGAAGAAGAAGAAGAAGAGGATGAGGATGAGAGGAAGAAGAAGAAGAAGAAGAGGATGTAGAAGAAGAAGAAGAGGGTGAGGATGAAGAGGAAGAAGAAGAGGATGAGGGTGAGGATGTAGAAGAAGAGAAGAAGAAGAGGATGAGGATGTAGAAGAAGAAGAAGAGGAAGAAGAGGATGTAGAAGAAGAAGAAGAGGGTGAGGATGAAGAGGAAGAAGAAGAGGATGAGGGTGAGGATGAAGAGGATGAAGAAGAAGAAGAGGGTGAGGATGAAGAGGATGTAGAAGAAGAAGAGGGACTTGAGGATGAAGAAGGAAGAAGAAGAGGATGAGGGTGAGGATGTAGAAGAAGAAGAAGAAGAAGATGAGGATGTAGAAGAAGAAGAAGAGGGTGAGGATGAAAGGAAGAAGAAGAGGATGAGGGTGAGGATGAAGAGGAAGAGAAGAATGAGGGGGAGGATGAGGGTGAGGAAGAAGAAGAGGGTGAGGATGAAAGAAGAAGAAGAGGGTGAGGAGAGAAAAAAAAGAAGAGAGGTGAGGATGAAGAAGAAGAAGAAAGAAGAGGATGATGAAGGAAGGAGGAAGAGATGAAGAAGGAGGGATGAGGAGGAGATGAAGAGGAGAGGATGAGGGAGGAGAGGAGAGGGAGAGGAGAGGGAAGGAGGAGGGAGGAGGAGAGGGAGGAGGAGGAGGGAGAAGAAGGAGGGAGGGGGAGGAGGGAGGAGGGGGGTAGGGGGAGGGGGAGGGAGGAAAAAGGGAGGAGGCGTGAGGAGATTAAGAAGAAGAGGATGATCTGAAGAGAAGAGGATCCGGATGAAAGATGATTTGAGGATTGACAGTTCTGAGGATTTCTGCTTTCGAGGATTGAGGATTCCTGTCTATGAAGAAGAAGAGGATTGGAAGACAGTTTCTTGGATTGATAAGAAGAGGATTGAGATGAAGAAGAAAGGAAGAGAGATGAGGATGAAGAAATCAGCGAAGAAGAAGAAAGAAGAAGTAGGAATGAAAATAAGAGAATTCCTTCAGTCCAGCAAAAAGTGTCTCTGCAGAGAGCTCCTCTCATTACTGACAGTTCCTCTGACATTCTTGTGACATTTCCAGCGGTTGCAACAATCTTCATGTATCCTATTTCGTTTCCATCCCCAAACCCTAAAACATCTGTATCCGAAATGGAAAAATGGTCAAATAGAATACAAACAAATAAACCTGTTTCAACCGCTGTAAATGTGAAAGGAACTGTCAGAGAACTGTCTGAAATAGCGGAGCTCTCTGCAGGGACACTTTTTGCCGGCTGTAAAAGGGATGAAAATCGGCCGATTTTTTTTACCATTGATGTAACGTCGGCCGCTTGAACGACCGAATTTTCGTTTTTTAAAAGAAAAATCTGCCGTTTTCTCCCCATCTATGGCCTGCATTAGTCCATAAATCTATATGCAAACAAGGTCCTAGTTAATTCACAAACAACTTGATTGCATCAGTGCTTCATATCACTCAATGCTTTTTATCTCTTAGATTGTAAGCTCCAAGGAACAGGGCCCTCCTAACCGTCTTGTATTGAATTGTATTGTTACTGTATTGTCTCCCTTTATATTGTAAAGCGCTGAGCAAACTGTTGGCACAATTACAAATCCGTATTAATAACAATATCTCCATGATCCACATCCCATCCCAACTGCACACTTGTAAGAACTCACCAGACCAAATATAACCTCTTTTTACAAAGACGGTCAACTGCGCCTTCCCCTCCAAGGGGTTAAATCCACATACTGATTCCACAAAGCTATCCCATATACAGCAAATTCATAGGAAAAGAAAGAAAGCCACCATAGCATAAAACCTCTCTTATTTTTTTAAACTGCTTAAAACAATATAAAATCCACTCACATTGCATAGTGCTATTCCCCACACTAAAGGCACAATTTCATACTCTTGATTGAGATGCCGACTCCATCACTCACAAGGTGGGACCACAAGATTCCTTGTGGGATGATGTCAGTACCCATAGATCCTCTCCAACGTATTTTGGCAGTAGACGTCCTCAGGGAGTGATACAGATGCTGTTCCCCCTGCTACTTTTCTACCACAATTGACTCCAAACCTCTCCAAATCATCACTAGATCTTACTCTGCATCTATTACTAGTATTATCGCTACCTCTATTGTTGCTTTCAACTATCATGTAAAGTTTAACCACTGTATGCAAGTTCCAGCATACTTTCTTACTATCCTATCCTTCTCTTCAAATAAATGCAATGAGAATGCACATCACCTGTGCCTATATTCATTTAGGGGGGATATTTATAACTTCATAAACAAAAATACTAATTTTGTGTTTTGCCTTTTAACCTTCATAAATCCATATTGGGGCAGTAAATTATTTAAATACAAGTAATAAAATAATTTTAATACATTGTGGAAATTAATACATGATTTCCAATTTTGACCGTACATACAGTTTAAATGACATTTTATTGTATTTCCCTTTGCTTCTCCCCTGGCCAGTACATGAACAGTTGTATATGGAGGGGAGAGAAAAAGTAATTAGATACCCCCCCAAAAAGGAGAGGGCTATGACATGCAATGAGGGAGGGGTTTGTTCTACAAGCAGTCACATTTCCTATCAAGTTCAAAGACAGATTGAAAACACACTAAGCAAGCATTTAAAATACCATATTTTGTCTGTGGCAGGGCTAGGCAAATCCCAGGCACCAGGTTGCCATGGTGACCAGAAACCACATCCCAGCATCTGGGCCCCCCACCAGCCCACCCACCCAATCTTTTCCCCAATCTCCACACTCGGGTCTGGGACAAGGGTGGAGGGATAGGAGAAGTGTCAGCGGCAGAGAGGAAAGAGCCGGGAGTAGGTGTTCTCTCACATCCTGTCAGTGGAGGGCTCCTCCATACAGCTACACGGTTTAATTACCTGCCCACTACCCACATTTGTAAGATTGGAAGGGGGGATTGTTTGTGCTGGAAAATGGGAGAGAGAAATTTGCGCAGGATTTGTAAGAAGGAGGATTTACGCTAGGAGGTGGGGATTTGGGAGGAGGATTTGCGCTAGGTGGTGGGGATTTGGGAGGAGGATTTACGCTAGGAGGTGGGGGTCTGGGGAGAGGATTTACGCTAGGTGGTGGGAGGAGGATTTACGCTAGGTGGTGGGGATTTGGGAGGAGGATTTACGCTAGGTGGTGGGGATTTGGGAGGAGGATTTACGGGAGGAGGATTTTTACGCTAGGTGGTGGGGATTTGGGAGGAGATTTACGCTAGGTGGGGATTTGGGGGAGGATTTAGGAGGGAGGAGGATTTACGCTAGGAGGTGGGGGATTTGGGTGGGGATTTGGAGGATTTACGCTAGGTTTACGCTAGGGATTTGGGAGGGGGGGATTTTTTGGGAGGAGGATTTATGCTAGGTGGTGGGGATTTGGGAGGATTTACGCTAGGTGGTGGGGATTTGGGAGGAGGATTTACGCTAGGTGGTGGGGATTTGGGAGGAGGATTTAAGCTAGGAGGGGGGATTTGGGAGGATTTACGCTAGGAGGTGGGGATTTGGGAGGAGGATTTAAGCTAGGAGGGAGGATTTAAGCTAGGGGGGATTTGGGAGGAGGATTTAAGCTAGGAGGGGGGATTTGGGAGGAGGATTTAAGCTAGGAGGGGGATTTGGGAGGAGGATTTAAGCTAGGAGGTAGGATTTGGGAGGAGGATTTACGCTAGGAGGGGGATTTGGGAGGAGGATTTAAGCTAGGAGGGGGGATTTTGGATAATTATTTACGCTAGAAAGGGGGATTTGGGAGAAGGATTTACGCTAGTGGGTGGGGATTTGGGAGGAGCAGTTACGCTAGGAGGAGGGATCTGGGGGAGAGGATTTTCACTAGGAAGAGGTATTTGGGAGGAAACTGGCTCCTAGATTCAAGCCCTGGTCTGCGCTTCTATCTGCAATCTTTAGCTGATGACAGGGTATTTTTAAAGGGAAACTGTGGCAAAATAAAAATTATATATATTTTTTCATTCTGTCACTAGCATTAAACTATTTTTACATTTTATTTTCCTATGTCTTCTGCCAACTGATGGACTTTATAAATGCACTTTAAAGAGAGAATTAACTCTTAAAGATTTTCCAAAAAAAAAAAGAGGGCAAAATTAGTCACTAGTAATGCCTGTGATGCCTTCCGAATTACTGACTTACCATCTCTTGTTCTACACTGTGCTTCAGTGAGGTGACCATATTGGTAATGGCAGGGTTCTGCTTCCTCAGGTCAGTGCCTCAAGCAAGCAGAACAATGAGCAGCAAAGTAGGGATGCCAAGTATCACTCCAAATCTCACTCAATCTCCTAAGAATAGCAGTCAAAGCCAGCAGTACCTTACATCTTACACTGCAAATACACAGCCATTACTATGTAAGTACACGAGTGCCTAGGCACACTCACATAAAAAGAATTGCACTGCTATTTTTCAGGAGAAATGCAAGACATTTGGTAAAATGTTTAGGGCGCTGCTTACACATGGTTTTACATTTCTACATTTACTCAGCATAGCAGATCCTAACTTTTTGAGTTGAGTTCTACTTTAACCACTGGCCTACAGGGCACTTATACCCCCTTCCTGCCCAGGCCAATTTTCAGCTTTCAGCGCTGTTGCACTTTGAATGACAATTGCGCGGTCATGCAACACTGTACCCATATGAAATTTTTATCATTTTTTTGTGACAGATAGAGCTTTATTTTGGTGGTATTTATTCACCTCTGGGTTTTCTATTTTTTCTTAAACCAAAAACCACTGAAAATTTTGAAGAAAAAAAAAAGTTTTTTCTTAGTTTTTGTTATAAAATTTTCTCCTTCACTGATGTGCGCTAATGAGGCTGCACTGATGGGCTGCACTGATGGACACTGATGAGGAGGCACTGGTAGGTGGCACTGATGGGTATTGACAGGCATCACTGATAAGCACTGGAAGGCAGCACTCATATATGGCACTGATAGGCGGCACTGACTGGCACTGATGGGTGACACTGAAAGGCAGCTCAGATGGGCACTGATATGTGGCACTGATGTGACACTGAAAAGTGGCACTGATGGGCACTGGCAGGTGGCATGGATGAGCACAGCGCTGGCAGTGATGGAAACTAACAGGTGGCACTGCTGGGGCTACACAGATCATCAGGGCATACTGATCATGTGTGCTCTGATGATCTGTGTACATGTCCGCTCCGAGGAATGCCGATTCCCGTCTCTCCTCTCCTCACGAGCTGTCAGCGTGAAAGCTCGTAAGGAGAGAAATGCCGATGACCGGCATTTCCCTGTTTACATGTGATCAGCTGTGATTGGACACAGCTGATCACATGACCGAGCATCTTCGGCTCTTTCCGTGGATCTGTGATCCGCTGTGTCCGAGGACCGCCGATCGCCGCGCTGCACGCTCCCGGAGCCGCGCATGCGCAGTGAGAATGGGAGGATGAAAACGAGAGAGCCTCCTTGTGTCCGTCATATTACTATATGGCGGGGGGGAGGCGGTTAAAGTAGTACCCAATTCCCATGTCTATGGATGCTGTTTACTGTTCTGTTTACTGGCGGTCAAAGCCCTAAACTCTACCAAGGTGGCTTCCTCCAGACAGAAACAGTGCAGAAATCATGGTAAGTCAGGAAAAATTATCAACTGGAGTGAGCCCACCATAGGCAATATTGATGATTAGTTGTTTGCCCCCTGCTTGTATTTTTTTTTTTTTTTACACAGACTTATAAGTTCAGTTCTTCTTTAAGGGGCAGTCTCTGTGGGCTTTTGTTCAAATCAGAACTGCTTCTCTTCCCCACATAAGTTGAAAGTGATATTAAAGGCAAGGTAAAAAAAAAAAATTATGTACACACACAATAAACAAACATGTTATACTCACCTGCTCTGTGCAGTGGTTTTGCACAGAGCAGCCCCAATCCTCTTCTTCTCGTATCCCTCATTGGCTCTCATGGCCCCTCCCTCCTGCTAAGTGTCCCCACAGCAAGCAGCTTGCTTTCTGTCCATTCACACACAGAGCTGCGGCTCAGCTCTGCCCCTTCTCTATCCTCACTGGCTGTGATTGACATCAGTGAGTGCCACTGCTGTCTCAGTCAATGAGGAGGAAGAGTCCCCGGAGATCTGAGACTCTTGTGCACAACGACTGCGATGGGGCTCAGGTAAGAATTAGGAGGGGCTGCTGCAAACAGAAGGTGCATAGAATGCATGAAGGTAAAACACCTTGAGCCTTTGCAACCACTTTAAAGTAATGCATAATAAGCCTAAAGCAGGTCACAAACAGGTAACTGCAAGTCAGATTTTATCGTCAATGAGTTCTGATTGATCTCATAAGTATCTCAAACAAAGCTGCATTTGTACTTAGACATCAATCGTCTACTGACACATGCCCTAAACTGCAAGAATCGTGGATGTTCACTCCCTAAAATGTTCCCTTTTGATTAAAGATGTACTCAAAGTAGCCGTGAACTCACAGGAAACTCTACAGGTTTTTCTTTAAGGACACAGGCACGCCTGGGTATACATGCAGGCAAGAATTCAGCGTATTTCCATGCTTGGTCTCAGGGGTTGGTGCACAGCTGCAGCAAGCAGCCTGTACAAATCAATGACAGGCTGTCATACACCACAGCTGTACTTCTGTATCCCTAAATCTGAGTGGTTACACATGCATACAGGGAGGGATGAGCGGTTCTGGGTGCGACCTTATGGTATATGCCCGAATGTATCTATGTGCATGAGCCCTAAGATTTACAACTTGTACCTACATTGACCTGATGCTGGTGGTGTAGGTTCAGGTTATATATGATACCCAATTACCACCCTACCCGTAATTTTCGCTCCTCACAAGACCACCTACTTTCTAGCTCCCTGGTCTCCACCTCCCACGCCCGACTGCAGGACTTCTCCAGGACTTCCCCCATCCTCTGGAACTCATTACCCCAATCCATCAGACTGTCACCTACCCTCCTTACCTTTAGGCGCACCCTGAAAACCCATCTCTTCAGGGAAGCCTACCCCACCCTCACCTAACAGCCGATCTCCTCCACTCCTCCTACCACTCCATCCCCCACAGCCACTTCCCCCTGTACCACTATGCCCTCCCTCCTAGACTGTAAGCTCGAAAGAGCAGGGCCCTCGAACCCCTCGTGTTCTGTTTTGTTACTGTATTGTCTCATGTACTGTCCCCCACTATAATGTACAGCGCTGAGCAAACCTTTTAGCGCTATATACTGTATAATAATAATAATATATGTCCTAATTATGGGCAGGGGAAAAATACAGCCATGTTTTTTACCCACAATACTCAATATATTTAAAAAAAAAGCATCAAAGCATCAAAGCATCTTTAGGGCTCATGTACACTGCAGCCGATAAAACTCACGTTTAGGAGCTGTTCAGCATTTTTTTCAGCAGCCCCTGATCGCACCCTAATGTTTTCCTATGTGTCCATGTACACATCATCATTTACAGGCAGTTGAGTTTACAGTCTTTTTTTGATTGCAGAAAACTTGAGTTCAGCAGTAGATTTTATCAGCGTTTCAAACGCAAAACGTTTGTAAATGCGGCTAAAAGCATTTATAGGAGTTTGAAAATGTTTTTTTTACCTCTTCCATTTCCAGATGCTGTCCAGAGCCTTTTTTCATCATGAAAAATGCAATGCAAAGCATTTTCCTGGTACTCAAATGGACCTACCACACCATACTTTGAGGTTTTGCATGAAAAATAATATGTTAGACACTGCTGCAATAATTTCTGCACAGAAATGAGCTGGAACACATCCAAACACCACAAGAAAAAAAAAAAAAAAAAAAGACAGCTAATCTCAACAACCACTGCTCTCTCTGCTTCTGCTCTCTCCATTTCTCTCAAAATGTCTGAAATAGTTCATTTTTTACTGTTTTTCAGTGCATTCTGGGCATTTTGGAAGGTCTCCTGAGGTTATCTTTATAAAACACTTCTATACGCAAACTCTCATAAACGCGTGGTCCAAATGTGGCTAAACAGACGTTTTTTAACCTACGTTTACCAGCAGTCAGTTTCCATTGTTCAGAAATGCCCCGTGTACATGGGGCCATATAAGGCCTTACATTTGTTATAAAGGCAGTGGGCTTTTTTTTGTTTTTTAAAACTAAATGCTTTCTATTTTACCTGCATTCAGTCCTGATGCAGCACTGTGCCAGCAGCAGCGGCTCTCTCCTCTCTCCCCTCCTGTCTGGAAATTGAGGCAGCAGTGGGAGCCATTGGCTGCTGCTACTGTCAATCACAGCCTGTGAGGAGGGAGCGCTGGATAAGGCCAAGCAGTGCTGTCTGTGTCAATGGGCAAACAGAGCCAAGCTCAAGATCGAGCCTGTAAGAGTGCCCTGGCTTTTAATAAATTGGAATTTCCAAAGTGCAGTCATCTGAAGTTTCTATATACCCTGAAAAAACATGTTATATTTACCTGCTCTTGCAATAGTTTTGCACAAAGCAGACCCAATCCTCCTTTTTCTGGTGTCCCTTGCTGACACTCCTGGCTCCTCTCCCCTTCTGACTGCCCCATAGCAAGCCTAGTTGCTATGGGCAGTCAGAAGGGGAGAGGAGCCAGGAGTGTCAGCAAGGGACACCAGAAAAAGGAGGATTGGGTCTGCTTTGTGCAAAACTATTGCAAGAGCAGGTAAATATAACATGTTTTTTCAAGGTATATAGAAACTTCAGATGACTGCACTTTGGAAATTCCAATTTATTAAAAAAAAAGTCAAACTCACATATGCAAGCAAAAAAAGTACAGGGGGTAAACGAAGAGTTGACACATTTTGCACTAATTAATGACTGAAAGGTGGGAACCTATCCCTACCTCAATATAGTGAAGTCAAGCCACCTCCAGCTGCAGCTAATCAATTCCACACTCAACTTCCTCCACAAAAGAAAAACCCAGCAGTAAACATTAGAAAAAAAAGTAATTAATCAAATCAAATCACAAATAACCACATCCACATCTTCATATCACCACAAAGTGTAAAATATGAATCATATACAAAATATAATTAAAAAATAAATGGATAAGGAAAAGAAAAAAAATTAAACCAGTGGTATTCAACGCAAACATATATAAAAAACCCAAACAATATTCATATGAAAACTCAGACATATCCCACAATTTAGTAGCCTCGTGATGGCATCAACTTGCAGAAAAACACAGTGGCAAAACGCTATATACTGTATATTCAAATATGTAATGTATATACTTTTTGTTACCATATTTGTCTTAAAGCACCCCCTGCCCGTGAGTACCGCTCAATACTAAAGATGCTATTCATACATGATGGATAATACGCAGACGGGAACCCAAAAATAAAACAAAATTAAATATATGATGAAACTATAGACAAAATAATAAAGAAAAATTGGACAAAATATCAAAAGGAAAAAAAATTAACAAAAAACAAACAAAAAATTGCTAAAAATGAATCTAACAGGCTAACAACTCGGAGCAGATGCAGGTATGAAAATAACCTCACTCATAAAAATGAGTGAGATCCCACTCAAAATAGAATCTGCTTGGGATTCGTGTCTATAAGTGGAAGATTCAAAACTGTTTGCATAAAATACAGAAACTGTCACCCCCCCTCACTAGATAAATCAATTTCTCTATGACTTTAATACGCAGAGCTGAGACATCGCCTGCATGCTGAGCATTAAAGTGTTTTGCCACATTAGTAGCATGCTCTTTTTGTATGTTGTAAATATGATCATGGAGACGATCTCTCTGCCTCCTCACAGTCCTGCTGACATAGTGGATAAGGCAAATATCACAGTTAAATAAATCACAGTTCGTATTAAAATTCACAAAGGATTTGATGTGTAAACTGCTGTCACTAACTATTGACTTAAAAGTGTACCCACTAATTAGACAGGAGAAACAAGGACAATCCTTGGCCCCACACTTTTAATTCCCCTGGAAATGTAGCCAATTTTTAGTATGTCCTCCCTTTGAGAAGACTCAGACAACCGACTGCCCAATGTTGGCGACCACCTTGATGCCACGTGATAGGATCTAAGTATATGTAAGGTCATTAAACAAAACTGGAAAGTATCACTCCACAATATTCTTAACCTTTCTAAACTATATGGTGCAGTAAATACAAAAGGCTTGTGGTTACTATTCTCATATCTTTTATCCACCAACGAATCCCTCCTATTCATATTACTTGCCATCTTCCCTGCTAAAGTAACTGCTTGGTATATCCCTGCTGTAAAAAAAACAGTTATACATTTGGGCAGCCTCCATCTCAAAGCATTCCTGGCTACTACAAATCCTACTGAGCAAGAGGAACTGTCCCACAGGGATCCTTCTGGTGACACGCTTGGGGTGTGTTGAGTCCACTCCTAAGATAGAGTTCCCCCGATAAAGGATTCCTGAATAAATGTGT